ATTTGCAGGTGCAGATTGCCAGTTTGCTTTATTATTGTGTTGTTGTTGTTTTCCTGTGGATTTTCTAAGTGGGTTTGAACTACCAATATTTTGGTTAATATTTGGGAATTTAACAACTATTCTTTCTCCTTTAAGAAGGCTAGTGGGTTTGGATGAGTGAACTAGTATTTATCAGCTCAAGTACCAACCCACAGTATCACCAAAGTTCTTACATTACAATGGAAAATATCCTTATTTCAAAAAAAGTGCTATTTTAAAATTCCTGCTGAGCACAGTTTACTGTACAAGGGGGTCCTCACCCAAAAATGGAATTTTGTTTTTCAAAGCTATGTATTTAATTTTTTTTTTTTACAAAAATACCTATCAACTTCAAACTACTCTCCATTACACTTAATACATTTGTCAAATCTGCAATTCTGTTCTTGGAAACTTTTTTCAAACTCGTGTTTGAATGGCTGATGGCACCTTCCTCATTCTTGCTTCACCTCTTCCACACCGTCAAATTGCTGCCCTTTCTTGTTCCTCTTCATTTACAGAAACAAAAAGAAAAAGTCACATGGAGTGAGGTCAGGTGAATAAGGTGTGTGGGGCAAGAGAGGCATGCTTTGTTGTTGTTATTTGGGGTTTTTTTTTGCCCAAAACTGGTGCATCGAGATGGCTGCATGAGCAAGTGCACTGCCATGGTAGCAAAAGTAGTCCCCCATCTGCCACCAATCAGGCCTTTCTTTTGTCGCACACTGTTACACAATCTTTTCAGAACCTCGAAATAGAAAGCTGGATTAACAGTCTGACCTGATGGAACCAACTCCAAAGGCACATTTGTGTCCATTCATGAAGCTGACAGACATCCAGAACAAGGTTTGTCATCCATCAACCTTTCACCATTTTGAAATGCGAAAACCAACTGTATCCTTGAGTTTTCCCATAATGCTGTCCTCATAAGCCACGTTCAACATCACAATAGTTTCTACAGAATTTTTCCCCAACCAGGAAACACAATTTCACAGTTATATACTGTTCTTGGCCATCACAAAAAAATGAGGTTCCAGTGAAAATGCTTTCATGAAAAAAATCACTGTGACCAGAGAAAACCTTCCCAGGCAACACCAATGTGTGCACTAACTCGGAGTGGGTTGCTCCATGGTCACCTAGCATGAAAAAGGAATACTGTCAGAGCTCCACCCACCCAGTGCAATTGCGGTTTTGGGGGCATACCCTTCATATAGAAGATATAGTAATTCAATCACTGCCATTGAGGCAATTCTGACTCACAGCGAGCCTATAGGTCAAGGTAGAATTGCCAACTGCCCCTTTGGACTTCCTAAACTTTAAATCTTTGCAGATGTAGACAGCCTCATCTTTCTCCAGTACATCAAGTGGTGGGTTTTGACTGCTGACCTTATGGTTAGCAGTTCAATGCACAGCCCACGACGCACTGGGTTATGCTATATCGGATATGGCATAATATTCCTTAATGAAGATAGATGATCTGATTAGGCCTAATCTGATTGTATGAATGCTTTAAACATCATTTTATTAATTTGGTAATTGAGAGAAAGCCACAGACCCAGAAAAATAAAATGAATTCAATATGCTATTACTGGTTCAAAGAAACAATGGGTTGTTTGTCAAGGAATGGGGTACTTTCTAGTTGCTGAGAGCAGTCCCAGGCTGGTCACCAGCTTGGAAATAGCCAACTCAATGGTAAAAAAAATGATTCTACTAACAATAAAAGTGAGCTTATAAGAAAAATCTCCCCCAGGGTCTCCAAAAAGGAATGGCATGGCTGACATCATTTCAGCTTTATACCTGAACAGAGAGCCAGCCACATCATGCCAGACTTCTGATCCAGGGAAATCTAAGCTAAGAAAATAGATGTGGTTTTAAGCTATTTTGGCTTGAATTAACTTGTTATACAGCCAGAGAAACCCAACTCCTATCAGTTTTATGCTGATTCAGATCCCTAAAACTAAATTGAGAAAATAATCTCCCTTTTAAATATGTAATAATAGACCACTCTCCATGGTGAAAAGAAAGCATAGAACCTTCAAAGATGTACTTTATAACTCTGTAGTGTGGCTTGGTGGTTGATGCTACTTTAATGCCACACCTCACAGGTCAGCCTTAAAAACTGCCTGTTGGCCTATACTTTCCTACAGGAAGATTGCTTCAGTGTACATATCACTAAAGTTAAAAAAAAAAAAGAGCTTCCATTCTGACTGTGTCACTTAATGTGAAAATGTGGAAATAGTCCCTTGTTGATAGCCAACATAGGAATGGAGAACTCAGGCCTAAAAGCACTAGGAACAGGATTATGCTGAAACCGCATTTAAAATAATTATGTTTTATTACCATTATATTGAAGCTAACTTTTAAGGCTGGAATAAAATTATGAATATTTATAAAAGCTATTTTAAGTATTTAGGAAGGATGCAAGGGCTTTATAAATGCTAAAAGGAAATATACTCTTTTTTAGTTTCTTTGAGAATACACTCTTAATTCTTAAATAAAACTTTCTTTAAGCAGTGCTTCAATCAAAGTCTTCAGCAATATATTTCTGGTTAAAAACTTTTGATCCTAAAAATAATAGTATTGTAGTAAAATTGTGTCTATAACCTCTTCAGAATTGTAACAGGTACAAAAGAGGGTACTGATTCTTGAAAGTTACCTAGCTTCAAATTCATATCCTTACTTCCAGCATTCCCTAGTTAACTGTCCCTGCTATTTTTTATGATGGTTATAACCTATGAAGTTGGAAAACCTTCCCAGGCAGATTAACACCTTCGAATATTGGGTTTCTAAATAGATCTCTGCTAAAAATATTGAATGAATACAAATCTACTAGAGAAACTTGCATCAGGATATTGGATATGGGGAAGCAAGCTGCCTACAGCATCCTGACAGCTAGCAAATCAATACTACAAGTAAAGACATTCTAAACTCCCTCCCTCCAGCTTCCTTTAATACTCAGGCCAGGCAGTAAGTTCCTGGGGAAACGTTGCATGACTACACAAGCTTGGTTGGAAGCCCAGGTCCCACTGTATCTCATTCAGGTCCCACTGTATCTCATAATGTGTCATTTTAAAAAGTTGACACTGATGATTTTAGTCAGATATTTATTATCTGAATTCCCATCTATAAGGTCATGAATATCCCAGGAAATATTTTTGTCTTTCTCAGGTACTTAGTACTAATAAGGTCCAACAGGACAATGCATTATATGGATAAATGGGTGATTTAATCCACCATGGAGGCATCAACATCAATGACATTACTAAACAGAGGAAAATTAAATACCATGAGCCTCATATGGGAATAATCTGCACAGATGTTTTTCCTTAATTGTTGACCAAGCCAGTTCCTTGAATAATATGTAATTCTTTTGAAATGTGGTGTCCTATATAATACTTTCCTTGTAAAGTATATAGAAGCATTGGCATAGGTCCCTTACACTCATGTGGCATGCTGTACTCTCATTCTCCTATTTGCTATTGAGATCTGCATTTACTATTTTAATTAGTGAATAAGTGGCAGCACATACAGACTAGGTTTTTAGGGCTATGTGGTTTTGAGATTCAAATGTTGAGGATACGACCATCAGACATTAATATACAAATAGATCAAATATTGGCCTATTTTATGACCATATCTCATTGAAGTTTTGTTGTCCAAATCTGTGATTCATTATAAAGTTATTCTAAGGAGACTTCCCCCCCTGAACTCTAGGGGAAAAGTTCTTCAGTGGAAAAAAAAAGGAGTTATACGTAATCATTTTTTATACACACTCTTAACTTCTCTAAAAGAAATCTTATTCAAAACAAATAGGTGACTGAACTATGAAAATACTAACTGAAGGTATGAACAATACAGAAGCAGAACAGCTAAGGTAAACACAGGCACTTCCGGAGGCCCAACAAGAGAGATGGTGCTCAAAAAACACAGGTAACAGGGATGGCATAGGACTAGATAAGCACTGGCATTCATTGTGCTTGGGGTCATCAAGATTCGGGGGAATGAAAGGATGGTAACTTAACAACAACAGTTATCACATTAGCAAAACTAGTCAAATTAGGAAAAATACTTTCCAGGACATTTTGAGGAGCAAACATCCACAGTGTGATAATAGCCTATTTGAACACTTCCAAAATGTGCTCAGAAAACCCATGGTCAGGACCCACTGTGTCAATTATCCAAACGGAGCTCTGTGTACTTGGACACCAGCATGGCATGTTAACTAATCAGTCTCTACGTGTTTCTGAAGGCTGTTTCGGGATCCTTCCATTGTTACTTAGCAGAGACTCGAAAAACAGACACTGGTAAAGAAATCCGTTCAGCACACAGCTTCAATGAAACAGCAGAGCAGTTCACTGCCTGGAAATAGAAAAGACAGCATGGCTTTGAGTTACACTAGCAGTACATGGTCCTATGGTACTGCATAACAAGCCCACTGTGAGAATATGAGATTATGTGAGATCAGCTGAGGCTACATCAATAAGTTTAACATCGTGTGGAAAGAATTGATGGATGTATCTCTTTCTACGTCACAGTAGCAGACGATTGATATCACACCATTGTTAGAAGATCATTCACAAAACGTACAAGCAGAGAAACCCACATGTACTTGACACAATGCTTTGAGGAATAGAAAATACAGCTATAACACATTTAAAATGCCAAGATAAGTTAGTTTAATGTAGGTAAGGTAGTTCAATGTAATTTTTCAAATTTCACCCATTAAAAATGTAGAAGATGTGTATCAAAATACTTAGCTAAAAAATTATTTCTCAAACTGTAAATTTCCCCCTAAATTAAAATTGCAACTCCAAATGATTTTTTAAAGTCAGGCCTAGTGTGCTAAAATCAGGAGATCCATAACAGCATTGTACGATTGGCTCCAACATTATTTACGGTAATCTCAGAACCAAGGATGAGAAGTGTCTAGAAGGTAGCAATGATGAAAGGAACCTTGGCAGACTGTCCTCCGTCACTTTCAAGGTTTCTCAGAAGAAGCGGGATGTCCAATATCTTCCATAGCAGCAGGGGCGGTAGCAGCTGTATCCGTAGCCACCATAACTGGAGCCATAACCATAGCCCAAACCTCCGAGACAGCCATGTCCACAGCCATAGCCATAGCCCAGGCCACCAAGACCAAAGCCAAGACCACCGTAGTAGTTCCCGTAGTAATAACTCATGGTGTCAGGCCTTGGAGGTTTAGTTGAGACAAAGTGTTTGCTTGTACAATATGGACTTCTCCGCTTCCAAGGAGCCTCTTATAGAGCCTTGATAGTGGGTGTGACAAACCACAAGCAAACGCGCTGAGCGTCTTATCCACCAATTTAAATTTTAAACAATCTCATTAACATCGTCTTCATTCGTAGGAGAGGCCCTCACACCCATGAATTTTGGAATTCCTTCCCTGTTGCCTCTACATTCTTTGAGCTATATCACATGCCTTTAAAAAAATGATCATACTTCATCTCTGTAACCTAGCTCCATGGGTTAACCTGGAATGGAAACTACACATTGGTCAAGCGGGCCTTGAAAAAAAATACAGACCAAGCACTCACTTGTGTCTGAAGGTCTCAGGTTTGAATGAGGAGTACTTGCACAGTGGGGTGTTTAAACTTTGGGCAGCTAGCCACAGCATTACCAGTTTGAAGCCCTCAGACTTACTTTGGTAGAAAGATGGGGTATCTGCTCCTGTAAAGATTTATTCTTGTAAACCTTAGGGACCAGTTATATTCTGTTCCATACAGCCAAATGAATTGTATTTGACTTTATGGCAGTGAATTTAGTAAAGGTTTTTGACTTGTTATCACAAGTCCTGATGGTATAAAAGGTTAAGCACTATGTGGCCCCACAGTAGAGAAACAGGGAGCTCTGCTCCTGTATAGATGACAGCTGAGAAAACTCTCTAGAACAGTTCTACTAAGTCATATTGGGTTGAAAATTGATAAATAGCACCCAACAAGAAAAAATATATCACCAGCAATCTCTCCATCCTTATTTATTTCCGAAGATACTCATAAATGCTATTTTTTGCTGTGCATTTTTCTACCATTTTTGTATTTGTATATGCATTTAAGACTATGGAGCATATTTGCAAACAGGCTTTAAACTAATTACCGGTGTGCTCATTCCTACTGGTTCTTATGTTTTTATTATGGTTACATGACACTCCTGCATGAACATCTTTTAAGTGTGAGATATTTTTAAACATATTTTTCAGCAAAAACAAATATGTATACATTTTGTGGGTGTGTATGTGTATGTATGTTTTGACACATGCCACATGTGTCCTATTATAATAGAAGTATGTCTTGAGATACATAGTTAGACATTTTTGCTGTTCTCTGTCATCAATTCAGTCTCCATACTCTGCTGACCCTTTCACTTGATGATTGGGCCAATAATAAAGCAATAAGGATTTGAGTGACCGATCTCCTGAAGGAGCTAACCAGGCCTTTCTTCCTAGTCTGTTTTAATCTGGAAGTTGTACTGAACCCTTTTTCTATTCATAGTAACCCTTTATAGACAGGATGCGATTGTCATATATTTCTACTGAGGTTGCAAACCATTGACCTTTGAGGTTAGTAACCTGCAACTGAACCACTGCACTGTTAGAGCTCCTTGAAAACTATTCAACCTCACAAGAACCCAAAGGCTTGGACTGATCGGGAGGTGGGGCTGCAGGCGAGGTCACTGGTCAGAAACGAGGAGACCTGCAAGGATTCCGAGTGGAGATTGCAAATTTGCAAAAAGGAAGCAGTGTGAACATCTCCTAGAAGCCTGCATGACAATACAGTCCAAAAGAAGTTCATCCAGTTTCACACTATTTTTTCATTACCCCACACACATCCACTTACAGTGGTATTTTTGTTAATAAAGTATTAGTTCCTTATTAATTGAGTCACTGCTAATGGTGCAAAGATGCAGCAAGACAGCTATTTACCCAGAAAATGATCAGAATTTTGAGAAAATGAAATTGAAGACAAAACATTGCCTTCTATGGCTAGACTTTTTCTTTGATTCTGACATTAAATCCTTAGATATTTTTCATGACACTCAATTATGATGAGAATTGAATAAACAGTACTATAAATTTATTACTATTAAATATATGAAAACTTTGTTATAAGAAATTTAAATTTTCAGGTTTTTTTCTGTTTTGTGTAAGATAACTATTACATTTATAAAACTTTAAACTTTCACATTCTTTAACATATCTAATTTTTGAAGAAAAGGTCATTTGTGACTGAACATTGACACAAGATAAGTTCAAGTACCATTATCATCAATCATTTTTTTGTAGAGGTGTCAATACATCTAGAAACAAAACAAAGTTGAGTGTTAAAATGTGTGTGCCTTTGAATGATTCCCACTCATGGACAGAGTAAGTCAGAGTAGAGCTAATTTATAGGGTTTCTAAAGGTTTACATGTCAAAATATGCATACCTTACATGTATACTTAAAAACCCTTTAGAAAATAACATCAAACAGTATCATATTTCAATTTAAGTAACAGTGACAAACCCAGGACAATGAATTTAATAATAAAGAGAATTTAAAAAGAAATGTGCAAATGAATGCAAAAGGATGTGGAAGCCTTAAATGAAGAGTTTATCTAATACATTCCATTCTATGACAAGATAAAATATAGAAAGATTTACAACTCTTCTTGTTTTAATTCATAAATGTATTCTAATCAGTATCACTGTGTGCTTTTTAAATTTTTTTTATTTAATCTTAATATTTGTATGAAAAAAGAAGCTAATTGTTCCCTTGTGATACAGAAGTATATGAGGGGGGAAAAAAGTAGTTTGATGCAGTTTCAGAGTTAACAGAGGTCATTAGATTAGAATAGAAATAATTTCATTTCTTTATCCCCTAGCATTTTATTTCAGTATTTAAAAATGTTGAGTTTATAATTATCTTTGTGTCATATTTTTCGCCTTTAAGTAGAAGAAAAATATATTCATTTTATAAGATTTACTTCTACATTACGCTATGCAAGTTATTGTTGTTCAGTTCCATCTAATTGGCTTCGACCCGTAGTGAATCTATGCACAACGGGATGAAACACTGCATAGTCCTGTGCCATCCTCATAATCGTTCCCATGCCTAGGCCCCTTGATGCAGCCATGTGTCAATCTATCTTGTTAAGGGCCTTCCTCTTTTTGCTGCCCTCCCACCTTTCCAAACATGATGTCCTTCTCCAGGGCCCAATCTCTCCTGACAGCATGTACAAAGTATGTAAGATGAAGTTTACCATCCTTGCCTCTGTGGAACACTCTGGCCTTACTTCTTCCAACACACATTGGTTTGTACTTCTAGCAGTTAATGGTACCTTCCAGATTATTCTCCAGCACCACAATTCAATAGTCATCTTTATTCTATAGTCATCTTTATTCAATGTCAAACCTTCACAAGCATTTGATGCAATGGAGAATAGTAGTTGGATGGATGGGCATGGTAGTTTTATACAATTCCATGACAATAAAAGAAATGAAGAGATGGAGTTTAGCCTGTCAATCAGGTCACAGCCTGAAGATGTCTCCTGTGGGCATAGCCTAATCATGACGATTCTGGGAACACTCTCTCTGATTGACCTTACTGTTGAGCCATATGAAGTCACGCTGATGGCAGTCAGAGCCCTGGGGATGGATCTACCGCCATTAGATCCACAGGACTTTGTACCCACTTACTTGTGATCTTCCTGCATTTGGCATCATTGCACATGCTGCTTGAGTCAAAGAGGAATGCATGGACTAGTATCAGACATACGGGCTAATATCTGACTTATTATGGGCCTGAACTGGAAGGGGATGTTTTCTTAATACACAATTACTATTTGATGTAAAGTTCTCTCTTACACACACATGAGTGTCTCTGGATTTGTTTCTCTAGTCAAACCAGACTAACACAATGGCTTAAGGGTTCTTGATTAAATTCTCATAGGGCATCCCTTGCTACCCTTGAAGAATGGTGCAGTATGGTCTGGGGAAGGGGGTGGGAATACTACTGCAAATTTCCTTGCCTTTTCCTCACCAATTAAGTTTTCAATTTTCTTAAAACTTCTTTGTGACAAGCCTCTGTCACATTATTTTCGAACCCCAAATCATAGTCACAATAACTAAATTATCTCTCTACCTTGAATTTGACTCAGCAAATTCCATGGAAAGTCACTGGAATGTGCCATTTTTCATGAGGGTACTTTGAGGAGACTAAGACAAGTGTATTACCGATAGAACTTCTCTGCATCAATCTACTTATTACAGAGATATGTTCAAACTTGCAAGGCGCCACAAGGCTGGGGGCTGGGGATAAAAGGAGGGAAAAAAGGAGGAGCTGATCCCAAGGGCTCAATGGAAAATAAATGTCTAGAAAAGAATGATGGAATATATGTACTAATATGTTGGATACAACTGATGTATGGATTGTAACAAGAGTTGTAAGAAGCCACAGTAAAAAAATCATAGACCTTATATTGTTAGGACAATTGCTTGCATGTACAATCAACACAAGGCAAAATGAAGTGTTCTAGCATCCACATTCTTCTCAATGTGATCCATACTTTGTTATGATCAACACGGTTAAAAGCATTTGCATATGCAGTAACACACAAGTAGACAAATATAATGTATGTTTGCAACTGTTTCTTCTCATTTAGATCCTTGCACCGTCCACAAATGAAGGTCCCTCAAACTTTATGTGATCAAGGTCATTGTGTTATACTCTACTTTGAGGAGGCAACTCTTCCTTAGTCATATTTTGAGTGCCTTCTAACCTAAGGGGTTCATCTTCTGACACTAAATCTGAAAATATTCCACTGTCATTCATAAGCTTTTCAATGGCTAATCCCTGAGACAGATGTAGAAAGCCTATTCCTTCTTCCTCATTTATTCTTAGTACGGAACAAGCTGACACCTTGGGTTTGAACACTTTCCAGCAAAATGGAAGCTTCTAATAGGCAAGTCATGGTAAATGGTGTTATTATGTTATGTTATTATGGATGCATTCATCTTTACAGGTTGAATAATACATTTTGATTATTAAACATAATTTAATAAATATTGTTCTTTAAAAATAATTTTATAACTTTTATAACAATCCATACATCAGTTGTATGAAGCATATTTGTATATATATTGCCATCATCCTTTTCTAAACATTTACTTTCTATTTGAGCCCT